TGCCACGGACAGTGGGCATCCAAGATGTTAATGAAGAGACCCATCCATGCATTTAAGATATCAGTTAAATCGTCAAAGACAAATGCAGTATTCCAAGGAACTTCTTTGAGGTCGGAAACGAAGGCGGATTTGTCAAAATGCTTCGTATTACGATATTTAATCGTTAAAGATTTATTTTGACGCTTGGCGTTATCCTCATATAAACGAACTCCAAATACAGGCAAATGATCTGACAGCCCATTGTTTTTGACGACAATAGACTTAATTCTTTCAGGAAAATTTGACAATACAAAGTCAAGACAGGTTCCGCTTGATGGTCGAGTAACTTCAGTAATGAGCTGTTTGAAATTCATGTTAGAAAAGGCAGCTATTTAGCCTCCTGGCTCTTCATTTTTACTATTCCTCAGTGTTCTAAGTAATTTGTATTTTCAATTTGTAATGTATGACTGTGTATAAAGTGTAATAGTGTAGTTTGATCGTCCAGGTGAGTGTAGTCCAGAGAAGGACTGTTGTTGGTAGTGGTGACTGACGTTTCGACAACCTGAGCGGAAGTCATCATCAGAGTCAAGTGAAAGGTTGTTGTCAGTCGAATATACTTAGTCCGGTCTGTGTACACTGGTTGGCCAGTTTTGTTGTGATGTTATTGGCTGTAAGACTCGAGTGGCATAGGTCAGTCATGATTGGTCAGTTTGGATCCGTTAGTGAAGTTAGGTCATTCTGTTCGGTTTGTTTGTAATGTTAATGTTGTGAATGAGTCGTTTGTATGGTGCCAGTAGTGGTTGACACCTGTGGAGGGGAGTCTGTTCCAAGTAAGTAAACCAGCTTTCCAATGTCAGTCATTGAAAGTAGTTGGTTCTGTAGGTTAGGCATTGTGCAGAGTCCTAGTCAATAGCATTTTCAGATTACAGGTCCTTAAATTTAAGGTGTCCATTGAGGTTTTTTGATGAAAGAAGTATGAATACATCTGACTTTCTTGTCCTAAAATAACTTTATCATATTGTGTGCTTTGGTCATAGCCCAACAATTTGTACTAATTCATTATCATTGGTTGTTTATTGTTAGATGTCCAGGTATTAAGGACAATAATAAATTTTTTTGGTTATCACAAGGTAGTTACCCATTTTTTGTCTTCTGATAAATGTGGTCAGGCAAGTGAGGTAATCATATAAAATACCTAACTATCAATAGCCATGCAATCGTGGATATCCTTAAATAGTATAATTATACCCACCTCTAAAATGCCTCAAACTCTGGCAGACGTAAATGATACTTCTGCTTAAAAGATAAACTGGAACAAATGACCCAATCAACATAACGGAGCCATTTGGCACAAATGATCAAACAGGTAAAAGGGAGTCAAGTGATGCAAATTAGCATCCAGTAATTCAGAAGTAACAAATGACCTATTTGGCTCAAATATTCCTACCAGCATGAAAAGCACAAATAGCCCAACCAACAAAGATAATCCAAATGGCTGAAATGAATGAAGTGGACAGAATGAACTAAGTGACCAAACAGCCATAATTTGCAAGAGTTGTTCTCATTCTTGTTGTACTGGAATGTGTAACCAACACATACACAGAAGAAAAAACAGTCAATGGTGGAGATTATGGCCAGTTTGAAATATATACTGCCCAAAGTAATGTCTATGGGTTTTAAGATCTTATGTCATACCAAATATATCCTGTTGAGGGCTTCTTTCTAAATTTGTGAAATTACTTTTACCACAAACCTTTCACGTTGTCTATGGTCAAGTATAATTTTCATTACATGCAAGGATAAGGACAAGTATGTCAAGTATATCCTTAACCATCTAAAGCGTTATACATCAGTATATCGTTTCATATACTTAGTGAAGACTGCCTCATTATACCACCTTATATTCGACACATCATACAATGCAGTTTGCCAAATACATTGTCATAAATAACTTCTTTGGGTATGAAATATTATATCATACCAAATATGTCCAGTTCAGAGCTTCTTTCTAAGTATGTTAAATTAATTGTACAATTGACCTTACGAAAGTATAATTCTCAGTACACACTTGGATAAGAAAGAGAGGTATACAACAAAATCATTATACATCGTCCACATATGTATCTAAATTAAATAGAATTTATTATTTGCAAAAGCCAGAGTATTGAGCCCATTCAGCTCCTTTATTCTCCAAACTAGGAATTTTTAAATATTTTCCAAGTATTTTTCAGTATGTTTGAAATCCCTAAATTCATGTTTCATTATAATGATAATTTATTGCCCCCATTGCTTCTCAATCTTTTTGTAACGAATAGCCACATTCACAACTATGTTACCAGAACAGCCAGTAATTATCGAATGCATTAGTGCCGTAAAAATCTCCAATAATGTACAATTCTCTACTAAGGTCCTAAAACTTGGAACTCTCTTCCTGTTTCAGTCACTCATTCGTCAAACCTTCTTAGCTTTAAGACAGAAATGCTAGAGTTTTTACTTAAATAATCACTGAGTTGGCCTAACCGCACATTTGCAGCACTTTCTCTTTACTTGATTTGTTATTGTAAGTCCAGCTATTAATGCAGTAAATAAATTTTGGTATCGTGAAAATAAGGCAAGTGAAAGAAAAGGTGATGACACAATGTATAATGCTTCGTTACACCTCCTTATATTTATTATACCTTCTTATATTCATTACACTATCATAAAGGGTTCTTTGTGCACCAAAAGGAACTAGGGCATCTTTCTGTGCTTTCAAAGCATCTTTGTGTTGCTGGGATAGGGCTGTGCACTGTGCATCATCATTTTTGATATTTGCAGCTGTGTATTGGCTTACTGCAGTGATGTGATTATACCATCCTTGGGGAACTAAGATCGTTTCACTGTCGCATCTGTTGTTTTCAATAGAGTTTCCATATAAGCTCTCTAATGGTAGGTGTCTTGTTTGTTAGCTGACCAGAGTTCCATTGAATTTCATGTTAATTTGTTTGAAGATAGAACAAGCAAAATTGTTCAGGGGTGCAATCATGGTGTCGGTAATATCAGCAGTCTTCGCCAAGTTATTATTATCAGTCATACTCAATTGCAATTCCACATAACTTAAATTCAAATCCAGAAAATCCCCATGAGCATCTAATTGAAAATCGGTGGACATTATTGTTTCTTCTTTCTTCATGTGGTGCATTTCATCAACCACTTGACAGTTTTAGGTTCTCTTAAGGTTCATCCTCCTTTTTGTACCTTGCTCAGGTCCCATAATATTAATTCTCAATAAAAAAATCATGTCAGTTGTTGATCATAATACTGATCACATTTTATGGTCTCTTACAAAGATACGGAGCAGTGTAAGTGCCATACACGTGTGTCTACAGCATCATATTTTGGCGCACACTTTCTTACCTGTGGCGCGACTTTTTTTTCGCTGGCACGACTTTTTTTCTGGTGTGAATTCTTTTCTGCTGGTGCAACTTTTTTTCACTGGTGCGACTTTTTGTTGCTGGTGCTAATTTTTTTTGCCAGCGCGACCTTTTTTCGCTCGCGCGACCTTTTTTTCCTGGCGCGACTGTTTCCTCTAGCGCTTATTTGTAGACCGCTGCTAGTTTTATTGCGGGCTCAAAGTACGAACATGTGTAGTTGTGAGCAAGATGGCTAATTCGTCTGATTCCGATCTTGAGAAGGTAAGTAGTATTTAATTTAGTTTTGAATACTGCCGTATTCGTAAACGAATTGAAAAAATGAGTAGAGGGAAGGTAGCTAGTTTTATTGTGTAATTTATCCGTCGAAAAACACAAAACCAGGCTATGAAAACCACAACAGGCAGAACAAGCCTGATTCTTACTTTACTTTACACCGAAAAGAGATTTCAAGTCTAGCTATACTCTTAATAAATATCTAGTCCTAAATTTAAGTCAAAAATTAAGAAAAAAATATTTTTCAGGAACAAGTCTCAACCGTGTTATCATTTATTGGCACTAGGTCTTTTCAACCTTCTGGGAGGAGCCATAGTCCTAAATCACTTATCATTTAAGTAAATCAACATGGCGGATAACGACCTTTGTAATCATTTGATTGAAGAATATTTCCATTTGGGCTTCAACTATAAGGAAATCATTGATTGCCTCTTTTTAAATTATGAAATACTTCTAAGTCTATGACAGCTTAAAAGAATCTTAGCGAAAAAAAATCTCGGAAGACGATGCTTCAGCAACCTTGATGAGATGGCAGACGCCATGGAAGAGGAGCTAAAAGGAACTGGAAGCATTGTCGGATACAGATCTATGTAGCAGAGATTACCGGTTGACCATAAATTGTCTGTTAGCAAAGAATTTGTTAGGAATGCGTTAAGAACAATGGACCCTGAAGGGGTACAAAGGCGCTCAAGGCATAGACTCCAAATGCAACAGTATCATACAAAGGGCCCAAATTTTATTTAGAAACTGGACGGATATGATAAACTGAAACCTTATGGGTTTTGTATACATGGTTGCATTGACGGATATTCGAGACAAATCATGTGGCTTGAAGTTGAGCGTACGAATTATCATCCCGGTGTTGTAGTTAGCTATTTCATTGACTGTGTCGTGGAGACATGGGAACAGAAAATGTGAGAATGGCTGTGTTCAACGTTATCTATGACATGAAGAAGGAGATAGTTATTCAGGAGAGAAAAGCTTTCTTTATGGACGATCAGTTGCTAATCAGGGAATAGAAGCATGGTGGGAGCAACTGCAAGAAGGAGCTTCTGATTGGTGGATTACTCATTTTAAAGATTTGAGGGACAGGGGACTATACTGTGATGCAGTGCTGTGCATGTAGAATGTCTACTGTTTTGTAATATGGCAATTATCCGTGAGGAACTCCAAAGAGTGGCTTGACTGTGGAACCTGCATGGGATTCGACCCTCAACAAGGAACAACAGTTCTTCCCATGGTCAACCTTGTCTCTTGTACCATCATCCTGAAATTTCAGGAGCTATAGATTGCAAGCACAATGTTGACATTAACGACTTAGACGTTGCTAGAGACATGGGTCGTGATGACCTTTCTATGGATTCATCACCTGAATTCAATGCACTTGCCGAGGTAATCATGACAGGAAAAGGTCTTAGAATGCTAGAAAATGGTAATTAGGCTCAGAATCTTTCTTGATTCTTGTGAACGAGATAGAGAAGTTAGTGTAGCTTCACATTTATGAGAATGGTTGACCAGAAACGTGTTGAATATTGGTTCTTTCTCACCATAGAAACCTTGGCCAGGTCTCTCTATTCATTAACAAGTCACAATGGTGACCGATGTAAACAGAATACTGTTAGAACAATAGCAAAAGCATTAACAAACAAACAAACTTTATTAGCAATTTTCTATCTCAAACGATTCCTTGTTGTCGTCTTTTTGTCAAAAGAAGGATGCGCACGCAATAAGGAGAACATGGACAAAATTTTCCCCAGTCATTATTAATTGCATAGAACAAAATATTAAACTTAAGATAATTCTCTTAGGTGAAATCAATGTTCATTTCAACTGAGTAAACATATATCAAATAACAAAACTGACTAATGCTGATGGACACGAAACGTTGGTTATGATCACAATCAACGTTAATGTGTAAGCACTGAATGCGTTCACATTCGTCATAAACAACAACTGTAACTCATTAATTCCGAGGTGTCTCCTTTGAATAGGCAAAATAGTCTGACATTTGTCAGGGTAAAATCTGTAAAAAGTCACTATTGCGCATTCTACGTTAAACAAACAGTAAGAGTAACAAAGAGTTATTACAAAACATGCCACTGGGAAGTAAGTGCTATTTAAACAAACATCAACAAGTATATGACTGAGACTAAAACGAACACAAGACTTAGTGTCATCGAGTAAAATGGCACTGCGTGCATTCACAGTTGACATAAACGGCAACTTTTTACCGATACCATTACAATAATTCTTATGAAGTCAAGTGTACACAATAAATATTATAATATTTATAATTTTAACTGCAAATGAGGGAACTTCCTCACATAAGTCTAGTAGTCTATTTGAGGTACTCTTGCCACTAATTAGTGTATAGGAAATGTTTTCTAATTATTATGAATAACATATGAATTAAAAATCGTATTGAAATATCATAGTATCATACAACAAAGGGGTGCCAGTGAGAGAACGCAACATTCAAGGACAAGTTTAGGTTGAAAAAATGCAGAGCAATCCAATTTTTATACAATATTGTCTTTATGAAACAGATTTCCAAGGTATATTTCCTCGTCCGTAAATGCAATGCTGAAATCCTGTCCTAGATATCAATTTCTTATCTTTATGCCAATTAGGATAACACCGTACCAAGTACATACTATAATCCCTGCTACTCCACAACATATATAAGTAAGTTCAATGTTGCAAATAAGTTTTCCTTACTTAAAAAGGGCAAATGTTCCTTACTTTTGAAGTGTGGACGTCTTGTATTCTATAGCATACACCTTTATTGATATCTGACGGGCTCTACCAGCAACTAAGCTACTCGCTACATCTAGTTACAATCTCGGCCTTTATAGGTAGGGTTGAGGATCTAGAACATTCCGTAACATTACAACAGATTCTATTTCTTTATTGATTCAGGGATGACTCAGCAAGAAACAGCCACTTCTAGAACATTCTTGAAGGTCACACTACATCCTCTCTTCATTACAAAGACTGACGAACAATTCATGAAGGAAATCACGAGAAATCACATTGCCTATTGCAGTCTATTAAATGTCTCCAAGGTTTTTTAAACAGAAAAAAGTCTATACTTTGAGTTTGGCTTGACTTGTCTCTGTGATCTTCTTACACCTTGTCGAATTTTTACTGGTTCTGATTTTGATTTATTTTTTTAATGTCACTCCACTGCATTTGTCCTGTTTCATCGTTGACTCCAGGTATTTCTGTGGACTTTGGCTGTAGGGCAGTTGGCAAGGCTGCATCTGACTGTGTGGGTGGGCCCATAGGAAAGTCTAAAGAAGGGTCTGTAACAATGACTTTGGGCGTTGTCATTTCTCTGTTTTTTCTGATGTGACACTGACTCCTGTACTCACAGCCATCGGCCTTCACTATGTAAGATCTCTCAGATTCTCTTCTGACCACACTTCCTTGTGTCCACAGGGGTGATGACTGAGGCCTGATCTTGGAGCGAATACTATCTCCCACAACAAGCGGGGGTAGCAGCGTTGCTTTCTTATCATGGTATCTCTTGTTCTGTTGCTTCTTCTTAACTGAAGCTCGTCTGATGCTTGAGGTTGGTATGACGTGGGATTCCAGTAACTCTGATTAAGAAAAAAAAATCACATTTAGGACTATGGCACCTCCCAGAAGGTTGAAAAGACCTAGTGCCAATAAATGATAACACGGTTGAGACTTGTTCCTGAAAAATATTTTTTTCTTAATTTTTGACTTAAATTTAGGACTAGATATTTATTAAGAGTATAGCTAGACTTGAAATCTCTTTTCGGTGTAAAGTAAAGTAAGAATCAGGCTTTTTCTGCCTGTTGTGGTTTTCATAGCCTGGTTTTGTGTTTTTCGACGGATAAATTACACAATAAAACTAGCTACCTTCCCTCTACTCATTTTTTCAATTCGTTTACGAATACGGCAGTATTCAAAACTAAATTAAATACTACTTACCTTCTCAAGATCGGAATCAGACGAATTAGCCATCTTGCTCACAACTACACATGTTCGTACTTTGAGCCCGCAATAAAACTAGCAGCGGTCTACAAATAAGCGCTAGAGGAAACAGTCGCGCCAGGAAAAAAAGGTCGCGCGAGCGAAAAAAGGTCGCGCTGGCAAAAAAATCTTCTTCATTTGTAAGATTGTGGACTCGGTATCAGTGTCATTCAGTTGCTCTAAGTCCCAGTATTTTGTGAGATTATCCACAACTACCAAGTCGACGTCTTTCTTCACACTGAAAAGATCAGTACCGACTATTTGCTGCCATCTCTTTGGGATAGGCTGGCTCTGCATGGTTTCTCTAGGTTAATCTGGCTTAGCTTCCTGACATGGAACAGTTATCGTAGAGATATTTGATATCATGATGAATCCATGGCCAATACAATATATCTCTTGCATGTCTCATGCATCCTTCTGCTCCTAGGTGAGTGGAGTGTGTTTTTTCTAACATCTGTGAGTGCATAGCTGTGAGAATGAGCACTCTCGTTCCTCTGTAGATTATTCCATCCTGAACTGCTAGTTCATCTCTATACGGCCAATAGTCTTGGACATTGGGCGGTACTTGCGTCTTGTCCTCAGGCCATCCGTTTGCTATAAGTTCAGCTAAGGTCATGAGATTTGCTGTTGCTACTTTGGGAAGGGTTGCATCTGTCATATTATGAAAGATATTTGGATCTGTTCCTTCGATCTCTTTCATTAGAAGTTCTGCGTGAATTGTAAATACTTCATAATCCCTTATTTCCTTCTTTTGCGTTTGGCCATTTGGGAAGGCAGATCTTGACAGATGATCACTTATGTACATCTGGGTTCCCTTTTTGTACACAATATTCAGGCGGTACTTTTGCAGTCATAGCATCATGCCTTGTAACCTCTTGGGCACGCTGTTGATACTTTGGCAAGTATGGTTTCTAGAGGCTTATGATCTGTGACTGCTGTAATCTTTTCTCTTCCATGGAGATAGTGGTCAAATCGTGTACAACCAAACACCAGTGCAAGTCATTCCTTCTCAATCTAAGAGTAACGTCTCTCAGTCTCAGTCATAGTGCGACTAGCAAATGCCACTGGTCTGCCAGCTTGAAGTAGAACAGCTCATAGTCCACAGTCACTTGCATCTGTCTCAATTGTTACTTCTTCCTCCAAGTCATAGTAAGGGAGTAGTGGCGGTTCTGAGATCAGCCGAGTCAACTTGTTGAAGGCATCTTGGTGAACTTTCGACCAAATGAATTGGTTTTGCTTCTTGGCTAGGTTTCTGAGAGGTTCAGATACGTTGGATAGCTGAGATAAAATTTTGCCCAGATAATTGATCGTTCCAAGTAGTCTTCTCACTTCAGTCTTACTGCGTGGTCTCGACATCTGAGTGATGGCTTCAACTTTGGCTGGATCTGGTAAAATACCCTCAGAAGTCAAGATATGACCACAGTACTTCAACTTCTGTTGTTTGAAGACAGGCTTGTCCTTGTTCAGTTTGAAGTTTCACTCCCTGCATTTCTGTAGCAATGCAATCAGATTTCTGTCATGGTCTGCCAAGGCTTCCTCATGGGTTTTTCCCGTTCCAGTTACTAACAGGTCATCAGCTATAGCAGGTACGCCTTCCACGCCCTCAATAATTTCATTGACATGTCTCTGAAATTCTTCTGGTGCACTACATATGCCAAAGGGCATCCTAAGCCACTTGTATCTAACAAAAGGAGTGTAAAATGTTGTTAATTGTTACAGGAAAAGTTACTGATTTTGTTTGGAACATATTTACTCTTAAACTTTCAAATTTAACCATTTCCAATTTATTTGAGTTCATTTGAGTCCTTTCATTTTAGTAAATCAAAAAAATGTATAAAAACCACAGTAGCTTTTGGAATAGATTTTGCTTGTTACTCGCTTTCATTATGCACCTGCATGTCAGCACTTTTGTTATTTTTTACTGTTTTTTTTTTAGGTAAATATAGGGGTTAATGGTCTTTCTGGAAAAATTGGTCCTCATGATAGTTAGCAGCTGAGTTTATACTCGTAACTTTAATTTCTTTTCATACGATAGTTTCCAAACCAACCTTGCATATATAAGCAGAAACTTTTAATTTCTTTTCCGTTTTTATTTCCTAAGCTGCCCTGCTGTAATTAAGATAGGTAGGATTTTCTATACCAGAGCTGTGAATTTGCACCTAAGTTTCCTACTTAGGCCTTGAGTTTATTGTATCCGTCCTTTTAATTTTGAGATTATTTTCGTTGTAGAAACAGATGGAATGCCTAAGTAGTTTGGTTTAACTTCAGAGACTTTTTCCGCTCCTTGTGTCCTTATTCAAATATTGCAATTTGTGTAACAGTAGCACCTCACACAAGTTAGTTCTTAAGCAAGTACCTTGTACAGCTTTGATGATAACAAACTTGAGTACGCTAGAGGTCATGTCGCTTGTTGACTTGACCTAGAATAAAAGTCTATTGTGGAACCAAAACACTGTCCCTTCCTTGATGTCCGTACAAGCTCACTCAAAGCAGATCTCCGTGTACCAGGAAATCGTGACAAGTTTCCGTCCTCACTAGCCAAGTGGTCTCTACCGAGTTATTTCCCCCTGTTTGTACGTTTCCCGCGAAAGTCCAGTGTAGCGAGCGAAAACATTATCGTCACATAATTTGCTAAAGTCCTCATCTAGCTTCACTCGCAGAAACCCATCTTTGGCGTCCAGGACTATGCGCTTTAGCAAGCCTGGAGGTTACATCATCAATAGTTGGAAGGCAGAGCTTTGGTATTTTGACATGCTTGTTCAATTCTCTAGGATCCAGGCAAACACGTAGTTGGCCTTGCGCTTCTTCACATACACCACACTGCTCACCCAGTCTGTTGGTTCATCAACTTTTGCTATGTGGCCTTTCTGCTCCATTTCATGAATGCTGTGTTCACACTATATGTTAATTACATTCAACTGAATTACAATTCAATCTATCATACTCCTTTCGATTTTATTCAATTATGGTTCTGTTCACATCTGCGAAAATTCAAATAGACTATTCAGGGTAACCTCGCAATCTAAAGTTGAGAACAAAATGGTGCCCTATCGAACAGTGGCCATGATATTCACCACAATACTTGATTTGAAGGCCGAAGAAAGGCAAAGGAAGCTTTGAAGGCTAGAAGAAGGAAAATACGCCGTCTGAAACAGTAACAACAGATGAGACAGTTTTTGGTCAAGCAAGCGCTTACCTTGTTTTGGCGTTCCTGCTGATAGTTGTTGATCAAACCATTGTTAGAACAGTTTGGAGTAAGCCAAGGAGCGAGCATTGGTGGACTTTGATTCAGCAAGAGTGGGATGATAAGGATTGGATGGAGCACTTCCGAATGGGGCAAGACACATTTAACAAGCTGTGTACTGAACTTGAACATTACATAGTAAAACGAGATACGTGCTTTCAGAAGGCAGTACCTTTGCAACAACATGTGGCTGTGATGCTGTGGAAATTGGCCACTAATGTAGAGTACAGAACACTTGCTTAGTTAATGGGAATTGGCCGTTCTACAGCTTATGAAATTGTTAACAGTGTTTGTGAGGCTATAACCTGTCATTGTTTGTCAAGATACATTAGTATTCCTACAAGAAATTATGGACGAGTTTGAGGGAAACACGGGGTTCCCACAGGTAATTGGGGCGATCAATGGTTGCCATATACCAATTATTTGTCTAAAAGATGATCCAGAAGATTATCACATAAGGAAAGGGTTTTACTCCTTTATTTTACAAGGATTTGTGGATAGTCGCTTATGTTTTTGGAATATCAACATTTCTTGGCCAGGACGTGTCCATGACGCGCGAGTTTTAACGAACTCTGCCCTATATCTGAAAGCCCAAATAGGTTCCCGTGTCCCTCGTGTGACAAGACAAATATCAGGCGTTGAAATTCCTCCAGTTGTTTTGGGTCATCCTGCATATCCTCTGAAACCATGGTTAATGACACCTTACAAGAACACCGGCAATTTGTCAAGGAAACAACTTCGCTTTAACAACAAACTGAGCTAAACAAGAATGGTTGTGGAAAACAGTTTTGGTAGACTGAAAGGTCGGTGGCATTGCCTCCTCAAAAGGCTAGATTGCGAGACCGACAGAGTGCCAGTAATGGTGGGTGCATGCTGTGTTCTTCACAACATTTGTGAAATCAACAACGAAGAATATAATGAAGACTGGCTAGATAATGAAAATCTGCAGATTGTCGAACTTGCTCCTGCAAGAATGGCAGACGAAAGGCAGGCAGAAGCTATTAGGAATGCCCTCTGCGATAGTTTATGACTATATCATATATTTTAACACCATTTGTTTCGTTTTGTAATAGTTTTATGATCGGTTTTATTGCTTCCAAATTGTTTTAGTGGCCACTTTTTTCTCCCTTTTTTTTTTCTATAAGAACCAGGCAGAACTATAACGTTAAACCAATTTTATTTACTATTTAATTAGTTGTTTTGCACAGAATGATTGATGAAATGTACATAACGTGCTTGCCCTCCGAGCTTTTGGCATGACACATTGATTAATCCCTTTGTAAAAATTATACCAGTGGAGTTCTTGATCAAAAGGAACGATATGAAGTACAGCCATTAAATATTCTTATAACTAAACACAATATATTAATTTGTTTATTTTAACCTGATCAGTCAACGTTGCGGGACCACAGTTCATGTGTCTTTGCTCTTAGCAAATATCTGTATCATTTGCATGATAAATGCTTCCTGCGTTGGTCATTTTCTTGCTCAAGCTTCATTCGTTTTTCTTCCAACTCCAATTCGTTTTGGGCCTGTCTTTCCTCCATCTCCATAAATAACTGTTGCTGCTCCCTTTGTACTTCGGCAAATGTTGATAATGCTTCAGAAATTTTATCCCCTTTACAAGGTTTCTTGCGTTTCTTGCCAGTAAATTTCGGATCTTTTGTTGAGGTAGAAGGCTGCGTAGAAACATGTTCTATCCCGTCTTTGCTTGCAATGTTTGGATTCTTCACCAGGCTTATGTCGGTTGTCTTTGTACATCTGCTCTTTTCTTTGGGAGTTGCCGCAACGTTTTCATCGTCATTGAAGAGGGATGAGAACGAAACATCAACCACACTGCCAAAGGCTTCATCACCATCATCAGGATACGTCACTTTGGAAATCTTTTCGTCCTCTTTAGAACTGCTTGGCATCGAGTCAACAACCACTCTAGGTTTTGAGGTTTGTTTGCAGCCAAGAACATGGTCCATTGGTTCAAACATCTCCCTTTCTTTTTGTTGGTTTCCAGAAATTTTGTTGCCGTCGCGAATCTTGCGATATTTTTGCTTGAGGTTGTTAATTTTAACACGACACTGTTGTGCACTTCTCGAGTACCCTTCATCGGCTATTCCTTGGCTTATTTTGTCCCATACGAGTTTCTTGTTGTGCATGGTGTTTAACTCATGTTGCACTGCCTCTTCACTCCATAAGGCGATCAAAAGTTTGGTTTCCTCAAACCACCATGTGTCCGCCATTTTGTTCAATCATGCACTGTAATTCCTTCAAACAACCCCCTTGGGGTTGTTTGAAGTAATTGTAATCCAATTATAATCAGGGACTGTAATTAGTTGATGTGAACCCATTTCATATTTAATTCGATTATAATTCGATCATAATTGAGGCCCAATGTGAACACGGTTGAAGTTTATTCTTGAGATTGTCTCTCAGTGCAATGGGTACGGTTCTAGGGCGCATCTTGTTTTGGTGATGCTTCTTCTGTCAGTTCAATATTGTAATTTCCAATGTACCCTAGCCTGGTGAATACATCGTTGTGTTTTTGTAAAATAGCATTCTTGGTCAACCCTTTCACGTCAGAAACTGAGTTGACAAGTAATTCTCTTTTAATAGACAGAAGTTCCAACTCCTCTCATGTTTTTCCCTGATAACAGTGACCTTGGAGCATCATCAATCACTACGAATTTTGCTCTGGTTATCTTTCCTCCAATCTGGATGTCAAGGTAGACTTCACCTTTGGGAAACACACGTTCTCCATTGTTCGCTTTCAAAATGGCACAAGTTTTCTTGAAGTCTGGTCGGTTTTGAATCTTTACAAAATCTTCCATTCTCAAACCATTTGTCTCTGATCCACTCTCAATCTGCATGGTTACCTCAATCTAATTGTCTGTGCACTTCTTAGCTGAGGCTCAATCATGAATTTAGAACGGCTGCTGTCAATGACTGAATACATGCAGTAAATTTTATCATCAGTGATTGCTGGTTCAGCTTCAATTCGATGAATACTCCTCGTAGGTTACTTGGAAACGCTCTTCACAGGTTTCTGTGTTCTCCTTTGAGATTCTTGATCTCGACTTCTGCATATCTTAGGAAGATGATTCTTCATGTTACACTTGCTGCATTTTTTTTCCATAAGCCGGACAGTGGTGCAAATTGTGGTTTGTTCCACAATATTTACATTGTTTCATTATTTCTACTTGTTATGTAAAATCTGGTTTCTTTCCTCTGTACATGACAGCATGTACTGAAGTTTCTGTTTCTCCATCAATCTTTTTCAGTTGATCGCTGGCTGTTTCTGCAGCTCTAATTATGTTTAAGGCTGTATTGAGAGTGAGAGCCTTCTCACAGAGTAGTCCTTTTCTGACTTCATGGCTTTTGATTCCAATGACCAGTCTGTCTCGAATCAGTTCGTCACACAGCACTATAAGCTGGCTTTTGCAGTCTGTTCAGGTATTGATCAATATTTTCGTTTTCTTGGTTGGCACTGTTGAACAGGTAACGCTCAAAAATAATATTCCTCTGTGGTTCAAAATGCTGCCTCAGGGCCTGCAAGAAACTATCAGGATCTGTGCAATCAGCTACAAGCAGATTTTAAGCTATTTGGTAAGTTTCTCTTCCCAGAACTATCTTAAGAGTTTCCAAGATGACTGGTTTGGGATTCTTATCAAGTTCGGTTGCTAACTTATAGCTCTTCCAACTCTCTCTGAAAAAAGTCCAGCCTGGTACTCCTTGAGATTCATTGGAGGTGGCGTTGGTAACTGACTGTACATCATCACCTGTGTAGGTGGCACAATAGGTTGCGCTAGAGGTGCCTCTGGAGGGTTCTCTTGCACCAGAGGGTCCTCTTGATCGTCCATTCTGTTAGTTCTTTGTTGTCCTCATGAAACGTTTGCTAAGTGTATACTAGGCTCTGGCCTTTCGCAGAAATGCAGTTTCCTCAATGTGTGAACCTGGAAATTCACTTCAAATTTCACAAGTGGCAGTATTAAGGCTCCTGGTCTGTCCAATAACACTGCTGGATTCTTTTAGCACCTGCGATTTATTTCTCTGTCTTCGCTTGGATCTGTGAAATTTGTCTTCAATTTTGTAATCCAC